CGGCGTAGATCCTCGCCGTGTGTGCCGGTGTACAGCTAGCTTCCTTTTTTCTTTTTGAAGCTTTTTTGTGTTGTTCTCCCCTGTTACAGTATTCGTTTCGATCAGCGCTGTTGTAGTGTACGTTGTCGCCAGCAAGTGAAAGAAATGGAATGCAAAACTTCATTCAGCTCTTTCTCATGAAATGTTTATTGTGTACTACAGCAAATCCCAGCTTCATCAAACGTACTGAATTGGATGTTTTCCATACGTATAGTTTCAGGTTTTCTAAGGGGTGATGTACATGTACGTATAATTCATGACGCCTTTAGTGCGTACACATCACTTTTCCACAGATATCGTCTCGATCTGCAGCTGCAAATGAATCAGTGCGTCTGCGTCATACACTACGCAAAAACAAGGAGAGGAACGAAGGAATAAACAATGAAAAGAAGGAGCCGTTTCGTTTCAGAGTTTGTTGGCCGAGCCTTATTTGAATACTCGTTTCAGAAACAAAGCCCGATTTTTTGAATAACAACGAGGCAATGCAACAATGTGTTTTGTCTTGATTGAATCGATCGCAGCTACTAGCTCCGGATCGGGCAACACTGATTGGGTGCATCCGCATGCATTATAGACGGGCGCCCATGTGCAGTTGTTCTCTTCTTCTGCACTATTATATGATTGCTGCTGGATAGCAGATAAACAATACGAGGGCTAGCTAGTGGATTAGGACTTGGGAAGCATAGACAAACCCTTGCAAATTGCAGTAAACAAAGGGCTTTGCATGCGCTAGTGTTGTGGTTGAGTTGCGGTGGACGGTGGTCTCATCGCGGGGATTTCTTTATTGCAAGATATTTTTCACGTTGCCTTTTTCAGCGGATCGTTGCATTTTTTGACAAATTAAAAATGTTGGATCCAGCTAGCTGTACTATGAGAATATATCTAGTTTTTTTTTCACGATATATAGGCCGAGATGTTGTAACTAGGTTGCTGAAAAATTGAAACATGAGGAAATGCATGAATAACATGTTTTCTTTTGGCAAAATCTGTATCACGGAATGCAATAATGTTAGCGTATTGTATTATAATGGGCATCAACCAAAACACAGCCTAAATGAACGGGATTGAACTCGTTCACCCTAGCTAGTCCAACCTTCTTCTATTTTAAAGCAGACAAGGGAAAGAAGTTGAACGTACACTTGGACTTGGTAAAGAAGAGGACGACGGCGAGTATACCCTCCTTTTCTTCTAAAACATATAGTACATGCATATCGCTCACAAACATGGATGTATACTCTTATCCCTGTCTATTTTTACCTTTAAAAAGTTGGCAAATCTCGTGATTGATGAAGCCATCGGGCTCACTCGTTTCGTATCATTGATAGAAATACAAGCATTACGGTCAAGTTGAGGGCTTAAAATCTAAATGAGCAGGTTTCACCATAAGGAAACCAACCAGTTGAGCTACGCTTGGCTCTGGCGTGAGTTCAATTCGTTTCCGTGAGTGCTGCCAAGTATTAATTCCTCGAAATTGAACTATATACCTGGTGGGAGAGTAATAATAATAGAATATATAAGCTGTACCTGACAAATAAAACTTGGGCATCTTCCTGTTGCAAAATATGACACGATGTGCATACACATATTCAACTGGGCATCAACCAGAACACGCCCTAAATCAACGGGAATCCACGCACTTCACGTCTCCACCTCACCATAGGGACTAGGGAGTGGCAAAAACAAACCTGGCATGCATTTCCTCCGCCTTGTAAAGAAATTAGGAAGAGCTAAGATGACATGACGACAATTCACTACCCACCAAGTGTCGATACACATTCTACGTACTCTCTTTGTTTTTGAGTTCTCAACTAAACCTCAAGCAGGTCGATGATGGATCAAATGGAGTTGACCCGGCCAGTAGTTGCGGTATAGTAAACTGTAGTAGAAGAAGCGACAAGGGCGCAGGGCAACTGAACCGAGACGATGGACGGACAGAAACAGAAGAGGACGAGGACTCGCCCGGGAAAGCCGACGGTGGCAAGGCTGCTGCTGCTGGGGCCGCCGGAGCCCGGCCCGGGGGGTCGCTACGCTACAGCCAAAACCGATTCGGCGAGCGCTCGTGTCCGGCCGGCGTAGTTTTTGCCCCCGCTTCGCGCGATCTCGGGGGATTTCTCCGGGTCCGGGGCCGACCGATGGATTATTCCGGTGGTGCAGGTGCGTCGTCGACCGCGCGGCAGCTAGCAGTGGTTGGTTGCTTGCCGCGTGTGGGGGCTGAGGCGGCCGGGGCCGCAGCTGGTGCTGCTCGATCGATCGATGCCGATTCGTTTGGCAGCTGGTCTGATCCGTGCGGACGTGCGGTAGCGTGCCGTGCCGTGCCGTGTGCTCCTCCCCGATCGAATCACCCGGCCGGATCGGTCGGAGTCGGCACTGGGATGAGCTTCGCCGAAGGCACATGCATGCGCGGTTCGTTTATTGCCGATCGGTTCCTACCGCGGGAGTGAGGGAGGGAGGTGGGTGGGTGCCCCAAAGTCCCAAACACGTACGTGTCCTGCTGCGAGGATACGTACTACGGTTGGGGGATGGGTTTGGAGCTGTTTACCCTCCGGATCTCTCTACCCGATCGGGTTTCGATCGAGTGCATATCACATATATATATATATATATATATATATATAGATATATCGTGTCGGACGGGAATCATTCAGTCAGTATGCTCCGGACGGCCACCCAACTGTTGAATTCCTCGATGAGAGGGTTGATGGACTCATACCATATAAGCCTAGGAGGCTACCATATATGCTCTGAAGACTACATCTATATAAAGAAACTACATATATACCTACAATGACTAATTAATGAAGAGATAGCTCCCCTCATATACCTTTATCTTCTATGTGTTCTTGTATATTGTTCTCGTGGATTGGGAGAGGGAAACATGATCTATCTATAAATTTTACACGCCTCTTTCTTGGGATCAGGAACGAGAAAACGGATCTGGCAATCCGTGGATAGGTCGATTCTCAACACGTTATCAGCAGCTCTTCCAACTGGTTGAGTCATTCATGATATGTTTGCCATCAAATCAATCTCTATTTGATTTTGCTAATCATATATTGTTTTTTTTCCCGATATGACTCGACGTCATCGTCTCGATTCGGCGACACGCGAGCCGGAGCCATCTATATGCTCATGGCCGTTGTCAGCCACCCCGCCGCCAGGAGCCAGCGAGCACGAGCAGCCGTGGATGTGGATTCCATCTGCGGGCACAACTGTTCCTTGCATCTACGTGACTACACGAGTCCGCCGTCCCAGTATTGGGCGCCGCATGCCGGCCGTGGGCACACATCTGTCATGGCCACGCTGGAGAAGAATTGGTCTCTTGAATCAAAGTTCAAGACGTAGGCGTCAACAGGTACATACGGGCATGGATGCAATATGCATGTTCGCATGGATACAAGGCCACAATCGCAACCATCCTGGTCGCTTTGCTGCATCGCTTCGTCATCAAGTTGAAAGGCCACGGTTTGCCTTCGATTTTCCATCCAATCATTCTCTACCAGATTTAATCCTGTAGATTAATTTTAGTAGATGATTTCCCTGGAGGACAAAGGCAAGCGGATGCGCTTTCTTATTTTATTTGCATTGAGTAAATTTGGATTGTGGCTAATCAAGAATTTGCATTACGCTCCATGTTTGATTCACCGGGGTTTGCGATCTTGGAGCCCCGCCTATGGTTGAGTGCACACACGCTCGATGTCGACCACACTATCTCTACCTGTTGTCAATCTACACTGCAACTACATGTGTCGTTGTCATCAAGCGGTCAGATCTACGACAATGCTAAACATCCTACACAGTATGTATCTACTAACCACTGTCCTATGCGGCATGTGACGTAGATTAAATTGGCATCATCTACAAGGTATGAATAAATCGCATCTCGAAGAATGCATTTGTCTTGAACACCAAAGCTGGCAATTATTAGTCCGTCGCAGACTAATTTTCTTTATGGTCTATAATTGATATTTCTATTAATTAAGACTGAGACGTGCACTTGCCGCCCGCTGCCGGCCTTGCCACAAGCACGTATGGCTTGACGTGGCTATATATACTCCTTTAATCATATTTTTTCTACAAGTTTAAATCTTGAAGATACAGTACTGGTAGATGGATTCTTAATGTTCAAGGATATTAGGACATGCATGGTTTCGATGTTTTTCAGAAGCTCTATGAATCATGTTTGTCGTATATGTACAAGTGCACCACGCTGTTTTTAGCTGCGCTCACACTATGACATTGTGCGCGGCCTCGCGTTCAGATGCCCGAAGCAGGCTGACACACCGTCATCACGGCTCTGTAACCCTATGGCATGTGCCAGCATCGCTTGCTGCCGTGTCGCGAACTAGTCGCACCCTGTCTGTTGCCGCGGCTGTGCACATCCGTACCCATGATAATGCGATCCTACTGTGGCCTGTAGCCGCATAGCTTTGTCGTACCTCCACCAATTGGTACAAACACTTGCTAACATCTTCACGGTGGCTTTCTGTCTCATGTGTGTTATTCTCGTGGGTCAGCCTGGGCGTTCGGTTTTAACCGACGATTCGGTTTGGTTTCTTCGGTTTTCTAAAATTTCGGTTTCCAGAAAATGACCCCTGATCGGTTTGCTAAAATTCTAAAAATCGACCAATTTCGGTTCGGTTTTTCGGTTAAAACCGAATAAACCGATGCAAGAAAACATCAGACAGGATTTAGAACTGACAGCACATCACAGTACAAACTTGCACAGCACAGTATATTATTTGAAGACTCAAGACTGTTACAAACTTAACAATTCAATGCTCAAATCAAATATTACAAATTTACAGTTCATTCTTGATAATAAACCACATTACTCCATCAATTTTGATAAACAACAGGAAAAAAATAGGTTCCAGCCAGCAGGGATCAACAATAGCAAGAGAACAATGCTCCATGGCGCCACCAGGATGTGTCCAGACGTCCAGCTAACCAACTTACCATTATCAAGATGCAGTAGCAGGAGTGCTATTCTTAGAAATGGCCAGGGCACCAATTTCTACAATAAGTGATTATGTTTTAGTTAGTATTCAGTGTAGTCATGTTACTGCAATAAGCTATCAAGATAAACAATAGAAATGATAACAACTTAGACTTAGCATTAAAAATTACCTTCCTCAAGCTTGGCCAATGCTTTTGTGTCCTCTTCAACACTGATGTAGTTGTTTCCACGAAGCCAATCATTTGTACAAACGAGTCGCTCAACCATTGTTGGTGTGAGTGATGTCCTAAAATCATCAAGTGTTCTTCCACCTGAACTGAAGGCTGACTCAGAGGCTACTGTTGAGATAGGAATTGCTAGAAGATCACGGGCCATACGAGACATTATGGGAAATTAGTAGCATTGTTCTTCCACCATTTTATAATGTCAAAACTTTTACTAAGCTCCTCATTATCTTCTCAAAGGTACTTGTCTAGTTCAGACTTCACAGTGGTATTGGCACTCCCCTTATTGCTCATCTGTTGTGCAATTATGGAGCTCATCAATCCAGAACAAAATTCTGGTGTTTCTTGAGTTTCAGCAGGCACCTTGTCACTTGGAGATGGAGCATACAGTTCTCTGTACTCCTCAAACAAAGCACGAAAATAAGTGTTGACTGTTGCCTACAGTTTCTGACCTATTTCATCACTAAACATTACCATAGTTGCCATCTTGACATAGTTAGAAAGTTTGAACCGAGGATCAATACCAACACAGAAAAAATAATAATGTTAAGCAATTGATCCCCCTTGTCTTTCTCTCCTCTCCTCTCTCTATCCCCCAGCCTTTCTCCATACTTTTCTCCCCAATATTTGTAATACTTCACTAACATTTTCTGGCTCATTTCCTTACATAATGTATCTTCACTATGACACCATTGTCTCAGCAGAACCAAAACATCAGCAATCTCATGAAAGTATGTGTGAGATGTTGGGCGACTTGTGGCAGAGACATGGAGGGTCAGCTCATAGAAGTATTTAAGAAATTGAGCCATTTTCCTTGCCTTTTCCCAATCTGATTTTATTGAAACTCCTGGTGCTTTCTCACTCTCTAACTCTAGACTATAGTATGGGTCTTCATCACTATACCTTTCAAAGGCCTTTTCATACTCTTGCGCAGTTTGTAGCATCAGGTAAGTTGAGTTCCACCTAGTGCAGACGTCTAGGTTGAAAAATGCTTTGGTCTGAACCTTTGCTAACTCGGCACATTTCTTGAACTTTACCAACCTAGATGGTCCACTCCTAACATACTTAACAGCAGCTCGAACACGAGCGATTGATCTATCAAATTCTTTCAGCCCATCACCTATTATCAGGTTGATAATATGTGCAAAACACCTCATATGAAGGTACTCTCCTTCAGCAACGCAGCCTTTTGATTCATTCAGGACCCTCTGCATGTACTTAATTGCAGTGTTGTTTGCACTAGCATTGTCTACTGCTATTGTAAAAACATTCTCAATTTCCCAGTCAGCCAAGCAATTCTCTAAAGATTTTCCAATGTCCTCCCCCTATGGCCCTTAACAAAAAAAATCAATATTTTTTTGTGCAAATTCCACTCATTGTCAATAAAATGTGCTGTAACACACATGTAATTATGACTGTTCTTAGCCGTCCATGTGTCTGTTGTCAGGCTAACTCTTTCACAATTGTCTTTCAAAAATTTCCTAAGTTTTTCTCTCTCATCATCAAACACTTTCACACAGGCTCTAGTGATTATTCTTCTAGATGGCAAAACAAACCGTGGGCATGCTTTTGACATAAACTTTCTAAGGCCAGAACGTTCAGATAACACAAAATGTTGCTCATCTTCTATTATCATCTCAGCAAAACTCCTCCTTAACTCCTCAGGATCAAATTTCCAAGTAGATAGAGTACCGACACTACTATTGCTAGGGCTAGGTTGTAGTTGTAAAGTACCTTGATTATCTACTACAGGTTTGTGAGGATTCTTCTTGCAGATTTTCAAATGAGCCTTCATGGAGGATGTACCATTTAACTTTGTGTCACAGCGGAGTTGCTTGCCGCAGTACTTGCACTTGGCTCTCTCCTCTCCATTATCAAGTTTGATCTTGCTGAAGTGTTCCCAAACATCTGATCTTGGAACCATGGGCTTCCTTTTCTTGCTTTCCTCATCTCCCACTTCCTCTCCATCCTTGGACTACTGCTGCTCATCCTGCTTGTCATTCTCCCCATTTACAACTTCATTCTCATTCACTTGAACATTCAGATGCGCCACTGTTTGTTCAGTGTCCCCCATCTACAAGACATCAAAACAAAAACCAGCCATCTAGGTACTTAGTCAGGTTACAAACTAACTAACTAATCAACTCGCATTGTCACAAAACAACCAACAGGCATCTAGATCTATTAGGCATTAAGCAAGAACAAGAAGAACTAAAGACTTACATTAGAGGACTGCTCTGTTCTTGCGGCCGTGGTTGAGGAGCTTGACGACGGTCGACGGTGGCACCGCCGCTGCTGGCCGCCTAGCGCCCTGGCCTGCTGGGTGCATCGCTTGCCGCACCTCCGAAGGGTTAGGGTTAGGAGTGAGAGTGCGAGGCTCTGCGCGTGGACGTGCGGTGCGACTCGATTTGATGCGGGGAAGTGAAGTGGTGTGGGTACGGGGTGCCGTGGTGGACTAGCGGTGGTGGGCTGGTGGGCAGTGGGCCAGTGCCTGGTGGGCTGGCGCTCAATGCTTAGCGGCTCAGCGCTCACGGCCTTAGCCTGCCTTACGAGGGTTTCTCGGTACTTTGGTTCGGTGTGGCATAGAAACCGAAGCCGAACACCGAACTTCACAGAATTGGAAACCGAAACTGAACCGAAAAACTGAACTACCGACTATTCGGTTCGGTTTCGGTTCGGTTCGGTGTTTGGTTTTCGGTGAAAAAACACCCAGGGTGACTCGTGGGCATGTGAACTCGTTGTGCGCGTGGCCTGAAGCCACTATCATACAAAAGAATAATATAGTGTCATATGGATGACTTGTCGTGTCACGCTCGTCGTTGTCATGCCACCGTTTTTCACATAAGCTATGGCAGAATCACTCAAATTATGCTGGCCAACATGTACCCGTCATTGTCCTAAAGACCTTTGACTGTTGTACACGAAAGCCAGATAATCCAATAGTCTGTCGGGTGTTCTCGGGGAACCCCGAATCATCCATATTTTATAACTCATACAGGATCAACAATGGAGTTACCACAACATTACAACATTGATACAATAATATCATACATCAGAGTTGCGGAAGATTTACAACATTAGTTTACAAAACATATTTTAAGTAAAACTTAACTTTAGATCTAAAAGGTGAATAGGACAGCGGAAGCAAATTAGAAGAAGCACCTAAGGTAGAAGAGACATCTAGATCATGTCGAGCCCACCGACATGACCTTGATTAGCAGCACAAGTCAGAACCTGCAACAAAGGTTTAACCAACCCTAAGTACATGAGGGTACTCAACAAGACTTACCCGACTAAAACAAAAGACTTGAAGGACATGCTGGCTTAAAGAAAAGATTGAAGCAAGAAATAACTTTTGCAGAAAAGCTTACTATGAATGGATCCTTACTTTCAATGTTTTAACTTCGCATTAAGTCATTAGTAGTATCCAGTTTGCTCCTGATCTGGCTCAATCACTTCATTAACCATCTCATCTCATTTTCATTTTTTATACCCAAGTTGTCATGTTTCATTGATTATCTACGATGTAGATCAGGGAATCGAGTCTCCTTCTTCGAGAAGCAACGGCGATTCAAATCGATTAAAACCCAGCTGGGTATTTCCAACCACACGACGTATGCCGATCCCAGACCTACATATATCAACCTTCACTTGGATCCTCCAAAACATGAACCGGTCTGCGCTAGACAAGAATACAGTACTCCACCGTCCTACGTCATCCGTGATGTTTCCGTAAGGTGGGTACACGCTATTCTCGCCATCTCTCACTCTTAGTGCGCAGTTAGCTTTTCACATAATGGAATAACCGAGATATTAGGCTTACCGGAGTATGTGGCTAGTACTGCAAAGTGTCAACTCACACAGGTCTACAACAGTACGGTCCTCAATCGACATAGGCGGAAGCACTACATTGAGACTCCATTCTCAATGCAAGCTACCCCCGATCTCAATTTAACATTATCATTTATCATGGTATTCTTATGACCCATCAGCAGAGCCAAGAAGAGCAAGGTAAAACATATTTCTCGTGAATGATGAAACCATCATTCGATTTCTATCGAAGTCTAAGCATTACTAAGCATTAGAGACATCAACTTATTCCTACTAACAGGGTAGAACTACGGATACCTAAAAATCAAGGTAATCATGCAGCAACAGTATCTGACCAACTCCTAATTACTTAATGCACATCTCACAAGACTTAAAGTGTAATAAAGATTTATAAAGACTAAGAGAGGGTTTATGCTCCGGGGCATGCCTGCGTTGCAGAGGAGGTTACTTTCCACAGATGGACCACTGAAGTTAGACTTGGCACCAACACCACTGGTGGACGAATCTCCTCCGAAACTTGATCGACACGCATCTTCTCACTATCGTATGCACTACATTTAATAGATGATGCTTTGTTCAACATGATGAACTACATGCCATGATGCATGATGAGAGGCATAACAAGTGCATAACAGAACTTTAAACGGGGTTAAGAAAGTTGAGTACAACTTACCTTTACCAAATAATCTAGGGTTATCATTATAAAAGCATTTTCATTATTAACTAACAAATCAATTAGTTGTTTATCATAAAAGAATTACACTAGCATGCACAAGCAAGTGATTAACATGAAAAGCATTCACATGGCTTAATCACTTACTCAAGATATTGCTTACAAGAAGTACTCAAGACTTGCATACATGCATCTATTAGTTTGATATTTAATTAAACCATTTTAATTATTTAAACAAGTTGATTACAAGCATAGCAAGAAAGAAATTTAATTGCCAAGGAACAATAGGGGTTTGGGTGTTCCAAGGTCCACCATCAAAGTGTAAAACACACCAAAGTCAGTTAAGCATTTTCCTAATTTATTTTAGTATTTATTAATTAAAGGAAAAGACATTTAAACACATTTAAATTAATTAACCAACTTAGAATTATCAAAATAGTACCAAACTTTTTGTGAAGCTATATATTAGCATGTAAAGGATACACAAAAAGTTTCATCATTAAAGGATAATTATTTTAGCATATAAAAATCATGGAATATGCATTTATTAATTAAAAGAGGGGATTTTAAGCACAGCAAAACTACTGAAAATACTCAACTAATATTTTTCCTAGGTAGATCACATCATAACAAGGCTACATAGAAAAATTCATGAA